GCCCAGCTTGAATTGCGACTTGAATCGCACCCTAGCTTTCAAAGATACTACGTGGCCCTACTATGCGGCTATGTTTTCTTCTATGTACCCCATGCATACGTTGTTTGTGCCTTTTGCTTGGATGTTAGGACTTGATCTTTTTGCCAACTAATGGGTTTTCCACTAAACCACTAAAAGTTAAACTTTTAGCAGGCGAGCAGAAAGCAACCGAGGGTTGGCAATTAGATTTGTTTCCAGAATACTTGGGGCTCAGAGCTTCCGGCAAACCCCGAGTTGTGGTTTGATTTGGCTACGGGTGGTGGCGAATCCGGTGTTGAATTCGAACCCAAAGCCGCGAAGGCAAACAAGCACTTCACTCGGGCTCTCCGATTTGGGTGTGCAGAGCTGGGCCACCACAAACATCACCAGAAATGAAGGACGCCGGGTAAAATCCACCCCAAAAACGAACACAGAAGCCCTGAGCCAAGCAATGGCCACTTTTCACCGAGCTGGCCTCTGGCAGTGTCTTAGGACCCGTCTGTTTGGGATGCTTAGGCACCAATTGGGTTTCCTCCTTTGGGAGCCCGCGGGCACCTGAGAAGAAGAGCTCAGTTCAAAGCAAATGCGACCTCTGACCTTTTTGGTTGGAACCCATCTTGGGTTCGATAAACTATAAGCAAATTTTCCCATATCATCTTGGCCATGACTAAAAGGTGATCACCTTTGGGTTCCCATATTTCGTCATGGCCCAAGGTGATCACCTTTTAGTTCCAGGTCGTTTGGGAAACTGAAACAGGGCTCCCCGGAAGATTCACCATAGAAGACCCGGTCCTAGAAATACACCCACAAGAAAGTGGGGATGTTCGAACGCGCAAGGTTGGGTAGATGTTCCTGTTTGTGAGCGGAACTCGTTGTTATTTAAAAACCTTTCCCAGCCGTCAGCCGAGATTTAATAGGGGATCCTTCACTTTTGCTTTTGCGTCGAGATTGGGGACCCGCGACGTTGGAGGTTTTTCTCTTGTCGCCTTGTCAAACCACCCCACAGGGATGTCTAAAAGACACGCATCCAGGAATCCAAGAGGTTGATGAATCTTGCTGGTGCGATTAGGTGGGGAATCACCCAGTCTGAGTGTTGGGAATGAACCGTTTGGGATTCTTTGAGAGGAAGCTACTGGATGGATGTTTTTTTCTCGGGGTCATCCAACTCATTCCCTGCCTACCACACCAGCAAGACTCATGTTTCTTCGCCTTTCAACCCTAAGAGCACCCCCAAGAATCCAAGAGGTTGATTCATGCCACAGGACGGCTGGTTTTTCTCGTCATTCCAACTCATTCCCTGCTATTGGAGCAGCCTATCGCATGGTTGTTGTTACGAAGCTTTTTACATTTTTGCTTTTTGTGGTTTAGTGGAAAATCCCCACTTAACTGCTAAACAATATTTGTTTGCTCCCCTTCCAACGTCAACCAAGAGAATCGACTCATGCGAAATCTGAAGGTATCAAGCCTTGGAAGTGGATGCGCGCCTCAAAGTGGTCACCGTGCTTACCACCGACCTGCAGCCCAAGGACCGATGTATCGGATCTGGTTGAGCTTTCTCTGTGAGCGTATGGGAGGCAGCTCAATTTTGTGACTCTCCTCCAAAATCAGTGGTTTGAGTAAGGGTAAGGAAAATGTGACACAGAAGCAGAACATGATATTTCTTGAGGAGGTGTTTGGGGGATAGGTTTCCAAGAATCAAGGACCCTGCCAACCCCCCGCAACGCATTCTTTGTTCTTTTTGCCTCATATCCGCCTTATGCTGAACATTGGAGGGACTCGACAGGAAAACTGTGAGTCACTGCCAACCTCAAAACCATGCGCATGGTAGCATCATTTTGGATCATGGGGTTTTATCCACTCCTGCGCCAGTTTTTAGGTGCTTTTCCCATGTTTCACAGGGGAATCCTGCACCTCTTGGTAGGTGTTTCTAACTGCCAGAGGTTTTTGGTTGGTTCACAGGAACTGGAGCTCCCCAACCTCTGGGAGGATGAGACGCAGCATCCGATGCGAGCGGAGCTGCTTGCGCGGCTGGAGAAGCCTGGCGGGAATTTTGCCAGGCGACTTGAAATTTGGGTGCCACTAGGCACTTTTTGTTTCGGGTTTCCAGTGGCAGGCCACTTGCCAGTTGCTGTAACGAGTAGGTCAGTTGCCCAGAGGCGCCCTTTTTTCGTTCCCTTTTTTTGGAAGGGTTCCCCTTTAAACCCAACCATCCAACTAAGCATGGCCTTTTTTCCCGTGGCCACTGAGCATCTGAGTGAAAGATTACGCAGCCTCCCCCACACATTGTTGTTTCAATACGGAAATCGAAAGGACACGCGAAATACATTTTTGGGACCCCTATTCTGAGAAACACCCACGAACCCCTCCTGGAGGATCCTGGAATCCCAAGTTCAAATGTGCCCCTGTCACCACTTCCTTCTTTGATTCGTTGGACCTGGGTGGCTAAATCCTTCTTGTGGCACACGCAATGGGGAAGTGCCTGTTGATTAGTTGGCTTACAACTTCCTTTGCCAGCAATTCCAGGGCATCTTCAGACCAATATGAGCTTGTAAAGTACAATTGCAGATAGTGGAGTATATTTGTAGTACCATACTATCTGGTACTTTATACACTATATTTACGGTATACTCCAATATGAGCTTGTTAATTCAGCTTTTGGACTTAACTTATAGAAACAATTGCAGATAGTGTGTCTACACTCCACTGGTTCAAAGCCATGGGCCAAGGTCCTTGTGGCTATTCAGCTGCAATGGCTCCCCGCTCTGAATCAGACATGTGTTTACTAGAGAACACCAAGTTGTGCAACATATGGCTTTCAAGCAAGCGACAGGGTTCTACTTTTGACTAGGGTAGACTTAACCTAGGGGTTGGTAGCTTCCTCAACAGGAGAATTAAGTTTGAGTCTATCTAAAAGTAGAAATCGGATCTGGTTGATATTTGGAGGTCAGGTTTTGAATGGTTGCTTCTCGTCCGAGGAAAGGAGACGAGGTGATCGTTAAGGTTGTCTCTGTGTGCGGGGTGGCGAGCCTTGGAAAGCGCCAAGCTCCGCCAAGCTCCTCCAACGTGCAGTCGCCCCAAACTCAAAAGGATGGTTTCTTCTTGGCTTCCAATTCAAAACAGAACAGCAAAAGAAGTATCACAGCACTGTGAATTGTTGACCACGCGCGCGCCCGCACGCACGCCCGCCCGCCCACACGCACGCCCGCACGCCCGCCCGCACGCGCCCGCCCGCACGCACGCACGCACGCACGCACGCACAAGCGCGCGCGCACCCAGACATATAAGTTGGTTAACTTCAGACCTCGATTGTTTATGACATGCGCAGACTCACAACAATTCCTGGATTTTTCAGGACGAAATTGAGGTTCATTATACCCCGCGGTAATGCATACCCATGCTACAGAAACTCTCACGTGCTCAAAGCGGACCGACAAATAAATGGACCTCGTCGCAAAGAATCAATTCAAGAGAGCCTTTTGGAACCCTGCCCATTGGATCCCGACAAGCTACTCCAGTGGTCAAGTAGGTTCCCTCTAGGTTTTTGCTCGTGGACTACTCTAGGGGTACATGGATCCACCAGGCTGACAGAACGTAGACCAACACCAGAACCCGTAGCAGGATCCGAGAAAAATGGGATCCGAATTTGAGAAGCACCTGCCGGGTTTCTCGGGGGAATTCGTCCTGGAGGAAGTTTGCGTGGAGGTGCATGTCAGTTTTCCTGGATTCGCTTTGGTATGAAGAAGTTTGAAAACATCAGGAGTTTCAGCAGTCGGTGGGTCTCATGCAGCACTTTGAGCGTAAACAAATCACCGAGGAAGGTCATCGGCGTGCGCTCAGCAGAACCAGGCAAAAGCGTCGATCCAACTGCAGGGACAGAGCCTCGGTCTGGCGAAGACTGAACATGCTTGCGACGTTTTTGATTTCCCAGGTTTGGGGCCTTTGGCCCTTGGGGCCAGAATTTCCGTCAGGGCGCCAGCTCGAAACTGCCGAGTGGCAAGAATTGCAGTGGGTGGTCATGAGTGGTCCTTCCGTTGATGGCTGACATTTCGTTGGAACCCTGGTGCCACTCGTGCGGCTGCTCAGCACTGAGCGCCTTTAGAGAGCCTTTCACGTGTACAGTGTACAGCTGGCAGGAGCCAAAACAGCAGCCAATGCGAGGCAATGGAAACCTAGCTTTCACTTTGGCTTTCCCTTAAGACACCGCAACGAGGGGGAAATGAACGGTTGACAAGGTCGTGGGAATCGGGGGTTCCCTTCGGTTGTCCCTTAGCGCCAGAAATGAGGAAGTGAATTGGTTGCTAGGGTAAGTTGTGGCCGATTGAGCATGCTGGATCGTGAGGGGGAGTGTCTCTCTCCGAACACCCAGGGACTTTCAGTCAGGTTCATGGTTGTAGAAGCTTGGGTTTTCGGGAAGCTTTCTGTAAGTGGATAAGTTGAAATCCCCTTTTGTTTTCCAGTGAGTAGTTCTAGAACTCACATCAACTACACGGTATCACACAAAGTGGTCGTTCTCCTCAAATCACTGTGACTCGTAGATTTGCACTGCTTCGTCAAGGTGTTTCTGTCCGTGTGACCGAATCTCACGACCAGTTTGCAAATTGCTTTTCCATACCTGCGCAAGTTGATTGACCTTTTGCTCAGGCTTGGAACAATTTACATCAAATGTCCAGCGAAACCTCTGCACGGTTTCGCGCAGGTCACAATGTGGGTGTGTCCGATTTTTGAGGCTCGATACCTTTTTTACAATATGTTTCTTCAAACAAACCCGAAGTAATTTGTCTTGCTGGTTCTCAGCAGGGAATCAGGAAATGACCCCTATACACCATCCCCTATGGTTTCCTTTCAGGGAACCAAACGGTTCATTCCGAACACCTGGACTCGGTCGCTCCAGACCTACCGCACCAGCAAGTTGTTCGGGGTTCTCCCCCAAAAAGAAGCCACGTGTCGTTTGTCGCTTGGTGCGGTCGAATCGCTGGCGGAAGGGAAAACTGGCCATGCTGGACAAGATCAAGGGCCTCCTGGCAGGCTTGCACATGCCCAACGTGCAGGCGCGGGGCCTGGGGTTTTTAGCGGGCGCCGTTCTTTTTGCAGGTTCCCTTTGTTTTGTTGGACACTCGCGTTGGGATGTTTATTTGTTTTGAAAGGCACTTTGGGTTAATTGTGCTTCTTTTTAAGAAGAACCACAACTTGAACTAACTTTCGAAACATAAAGCCCGATGATATATCGCTGGGAAGCCCATGGCGTTGTTTTGCGGAAGCTTGCGGCAGGTGCTGCACTTCTCAGTCCCCGAGCCGCTGGCGGCTTTGCAGGCGCAGGGCAACGACCTTTTCGGCTTGGGGAAAGCGGGTGGTTTAATTAGCTGCGGCCGGCTTCTTGATTCTTCACATGGTTCTGGGTGGACCATTTTAATACCGGGTTTTGATTGTGACTCAACTGTCCCGGTACTAGTTTGGAAAACCAGGTTTTCCTGCAGGAGGACAACCATTTTGGTGGTTGACATCATAGCCCGCCCTCAACAAAATGAGTAGTTTTGAGGTCACCTTTTGAAGTGCTTGTTGATTGACAAGTGAAGAGGCGAATCAGTTGGATTGGGAGCCCACTGCTTCAGACAAGCCAGGGCCCAGTTTTTGCCGTCTGGTGGCTCTCAGTCAAGCTCTGGTCGGAAAAGGTGGATTGCACAAACCCATGCTTACCCTAAAGGCTGGGGCTTTCCTCTTTTGATTCTGGGCAAGTTCATTCTAGGTCCTATGAAAGTTCGACTTCTGTTCCATTGGAGTGTCATTGTCACTTGACCAGTTGCCAGGTGCCATGTGGTGCCATACTTAGCTTTGCCGTTTTTGGCTCATGCTTTTTAGTTGTCGCGTTTTCGGTTCTGTTCATGACACGTTAGGTCTCCTGGAAGGGGGGAAGGTTCCTCACCCTCAGTAAAAGCATCAGGTATGCACAAAAGAAAACCTGGTTTTTCAAACCTGTCGCTTAAACCATGTGTTGTGTAGAGTAGGGGGCGTGTCGCATCAAGGACCGACCGCGTCAAAGTTTGGCATAGGCCAAACAATGAATCAATAGTTGATTTAAGTGGAGAGAATCACATGGAGTGCCACCCCGGAAGTTGGCCCTTTGAGACCTGTTGGTTCCATTTTTGGGGGTTCTGCTTGCTCGTTCTAGGGAACGAGGGAATGACCCCAATAAACCATGGTTTCCAAATTCCCAACACCCTGCCGAGAACCACCCCCTGCCGAGAACCACCCCCCCCCTCCCCACCCCCTCCCCACCCCCCCACCCTCCCCAGCACCCATGTGGCCCATGAGGATAGATGACGCCCGAAATATCCGGCTCACTCCGCTGTTCGGAAGCGCCAGGCCTTGGAGCCTCGCCGCGCTTCAAGAAGCGGGGCCAAGGCCCTGCGCGACTTCCTGTAGGCGAGCCGAAGCCGGAAGGGAGTCACCCCAAACCCGGTGATTTTTTTCGTTGAACATGTACCCTCCCACCAAAAAAAAGTAACATGGAAGTGCACACACACCCTTTCCGCCGCCTGGAAAGTCGTCTTTGCTGCAGGTTTGCGCACTTTGTTCGGGAGGGTAGGTTCCATCTGACGCCCAAAGCCGGAAAGTGAAGGTTGCGGACGGTCGCAGCCGGCGCGGAGATCCGCCCTCTTGATTCTTCACCCGCTTTCTGAACGCCTTCCGAGACCGCTGCGAGACCGCCGAGACTTTCCCAGCGCCGAGACCCGGAAGGGCCGAGATCTCACGCCACGTGGCAAGTGTCCAGCATGTTCGTAACTTTTTCACGAGTGCATCTAGTCTTAAAGATCACGCGCAGGTGCATGCATTCTTCGAGTTAGTGCCGGTACGGAAGTTTCCTCTAAACGTCCTTTGATAAGGTTCATCCAATATAGCTCACTAATTAAATTATAAGGTATCAACATGTGGGTGTGTCTTGTTTAATTGGCACCCCTTTTTGGTTGGTTGTAAAGGGCGACCGAAAGGAAACAAGAAACCGTCCCGCGCCGTTTTGGGGGACCCCAAAAACAGACACGCCCCATGTGTTTTTTTGGTTGGCTAGCTGAGGTCTCGGGTTTTCGAAAAAATGCCACAGGCGCCAAGCGCTGCAAAGGACAAACCGCGTGCGGCAAAAAGGGGAGGCAGTCGGCCCCGCTCAACCGCCCGCCACTCCAAATGTGTGTGTGTGTGTGCTTTTTTTTTTTTAGTTGGGGGACCTCTTATCATTACAGGTAAGTATCGATCATGCAACTATTACGTTGGGAATGCAACTTGTTTGGTTGTTCATGTGGAACGCACAAAGGACACCTCATGATTTGAATGCAACCAAGCCCAAACTTTTTTTTTAGAAGAACTTGTGGGTATTGTGTGACTAGACTGAATAGCAATGAGCATGTTGAGGTTCAGTCAAACATCCGAGTTCGGGACATTTGGGGGGGGGACTCAATTGTCCCACACAAAGCAGGAGGACGCAGCATGTTTGGACCGCGCACAAACTGACAAAGTGATTGAACAAACTTCCCATTGAATCTGGGCCATCCAATTGTCCCATGTCCCAGGAAGCAAATAATATCCTCCCTTGGCATGTTTCGCTTCACGGTCACCAGATTCTCGGGTTCCAACATTTGGGCCCAGTCCCAAGATGGAAATTGTGCATGTGGCCAGAGCGTTTTCCTTTTGATCCTGTTTCGGCTTGGCGAGTTGGTTTTTAATGTTTCACCCAGAGAGGGTTCAAGGGTTCCACTCTATTCATGTAGCGCTCTATAGTCCTGAAGGGAGTCCAATTGCAAGTGCTTTGTCCAAAACGGTTCAAGGGTTCCTCTCTATTCAGGTAAAGTTTTCTGTAGCCCTCTTGCCAGCCTTACCCCCTCTTTTGTCCAAAATGGGTCGCGTGATTCGTGCTTGCCTGAGCAAGAAGCTTTTCAGCCGCGAGCTCAAGAAACTGCAGCTAAAAGGGTAAGGGTAAGCGATGGGGACAGGACCCTTGTCATGGGGTCTGTCTTTTTCAAGGTTTGGGCCTGCAGGTTGGTTACTCTCAAAAGAAGACACCCTTAAGGTGTCCAACACCGGCCTTTTGATTCTTTGCCTACGGGGTTTCAATGGGCCAAACTCTCCCAAGACGGTCTTACCAAGACAGGGAAAACAAGAACATCAAACAGGTCCGCCTTTTTGTGAGGGTACCTCTTTTTTGGTGGCTTTAAAGGGAAGACACCAGGAAGACCACCATTTTGGTGGGTCCCTCAACAAAAAGACACACCCACACATGTTTGAATGAAAACGCCCCAATTCCAGGATTGACATTGGACAACCCCATGGTCACCGAAAGTTGTCGAGCCATAGAAGTGCATAGCCTTTGGATCGGCGCGGGGCCTCGAGCCGAGTCAATATTAACATACCCATCCAGAAAGGTTGGTGGAGCCAAATCTCAATCTATTTGACGTCCATCAGAGGGTCCCCAAATAATGTTCACACATGTCACCATGCGTTTGTTTATATATGTATATATGGCACGCTGTTGACTTGTCTTGAAAGGGCCCAAGGAAAGAAACTGCCATTTTTGAAGTAGGAGGAAAAAAGGAGAACCCTGAAAACTACCAATGTTTTGTGGTTTGTTCGCTTTTGCGTGCAGTTCCGAACCTCAAACACTTGAGACCAGGGGTTTAGAAAGAACAGAAACACTCTAATGCTATTGGGTTGGATCTTTAGACTTTAAGTTTTTGGATACCCCTCATATTTCTTTTCACCAGCAACAAAAAACACTTTTTGCTGGGGGATCTACAGCACCCAAGAGAATACCGAAGGGTTGCCTGCTGTGGATGGTTCCACCTGGTGGATTCCTGAAAGTTTCCCAGCCAAATGTCTGCCTCTTGGAGGATTGATCTGGGACTCTGCCCGGGTCTCCGATCCCAGAACGAATATGCGAGACTAAGCTGAACATTAATTCCCAAAAGACTCTTTGATTGACATATGTTGGGGATTCTGGAAGTATGAACTTCAGGGTACCCCAGTGGGCCAAGTGTAGAGCTGGTCTGCTACTCTGTGGCCTTGACTTGTGACGGCGTCTTTCTTTTAGGCCAGGTTGCTTGCATCACTTTTTGAACCAAGTGTAGGTGAGTTTCATTTTGATGGGTTGATGTTTAAGGGGGGAAACATGGGAGTGTCTCGACGTAGGTATTCGGACCCGTTCCTTTGGAGTCCCTTTCAATCCACCCGGAAAGGGGTACCATCAAACAAAGACACACCAGGCTGTAAATCAAAAGCCAGGAAATCCCTGGTGAACATCATTTCATAGGTGGCAAATGGATGTTCATCCACCCCAAAATGGAGCTGTAGGTTCTGCCCCCTGGCCACCATGCCGTGCGTATGCGGTTTGGTCAAAGCGACAAGTGGTCTACGGTGTATTTGAGAGGGAGCTCTAACTGCGCCCGTGTCCTCTTGGGCGTTGGCCAAGGTTGGTAACTTTGAACGAAGCCAACTTAAAGGGGCAGGGTACTTGGTAAGTGGTTAGTCAGCCTGGTTATAACCCACTGAACGGAGACTTACAGCATGGCTGTTGTGGTTTATAAGCCTGGTTATTACCCAGCTACTCAGTACAATGCCCATAATTCAGCCACAACGAACGGTTGATGAACCCATAAACTAGGCAAGCGGCTCTCTGGGAGCCGTGTAACTGTCACCGACAGCATTTTGCGTGTTTTGAAGTGCGAGAAGGCAAATTCACTGGTATTTGCGGTGTTTTTGCCTCATTTGGCTCAAACTTCTTGCGACATGGGCTGTGCAAAGGGGGTCCCCGAAAAGTTCGTTTTTTGACCTAATGCACGAGAAGAAGCTGAAATGACCTAGGCTGGAGGCTCCGTCGTGGGATGCTGGAAAAAACATACGTAGTAAATATGCCCAAAATCCCGCTTGTTGGAACACATAAACATAATGCGAAAATGAACGCTTGGATTACACGAGAAGAAGCTGAAATGACCTAGGCTGGAGGCTCCGTCGGCTATGGTGCACATGACAGCAGAAATGGAAGCGCCGCATTCATTGGCCCCCCCCCCCCCCCCACCCCCCACCCCAAGCACAGGTGGTCGCAACAGAGAAGCGCCGCATTCATTGGCCCCCCCCCACCCCCCACCCCCCACCCCCACCCCCACCCCCACCCCCCACCCCCCCACCCCCCACCCCCCACCCCCCCACCCCCACCCCCCACCCCCCACCCCCCCCACCCCCACCCCCACCCCCCCACCCCCACCCCCCCCACCCCCCACCCCCCACCCCACCCCCCACCCCCCACCCACCCACCCCCACCCCCCTCCCCAAGACTCAGATTCGATGACAGTTACACGGCTCCGAGAGAGCCGCCTGCCATAAACTAGGGATTCATACCATGGGGTTCAGATGTGCAGGGCTCTTACCAGGATAACCATGTGTTGTTTTTTGGTGGACCTCCAAAAATGGAGTTTATGGCGGTGTTCCACGTTGGTTTCCCTAGAAAAACATGGACGTCTACATGGGCCAGTGACACCTGGCCCTGCGGCTCCTGCGGCTGAGGCGAGGAGTTGCCAGCCTGGGTGCTGCCCTGCATCGGCTCCTACCTGCGCACAGGGCATTTGGTGAATTGGTGGCGCCTGGGAACGAAGGGTCTGCGCCCGCAAGACTTAGCCCTGGATGGGTTGCGAAATCCAGAAATTGCAGAATCATTCCAGAAACCCTGGAATGGTTCGATTCAGCTGGAAGTGCCAACCAACAATGGTTTCAACCATGGTTTCAAAGTGGGGCGAATTGGATTTTGTCCATCCACAGTAGCCATGGGTTTCTCTTTCTTTGGGGGCCACCCCTTTTGAGCCTATTTGGGAGGTTCTGACCCACCCCTTTTAAGTTTACCTGGAATGTTTGAGTTTACCTGGGGGTTGGAGTCCACCTGGGGGTAGTCAACAAATGAGTATCGCGCAAAACTCCCGGCTTGGCCATTTTAGTAGATGGTTCTACCAGGTTTCGCGGGTTTACGGTTTGGCCTTTAGAACCTTTGTAACCATGCTGGTAGAACCAGCAGTCAATGGGTGTGGTTCTTTTCCAGCTGGTTCGGTTGGTAGGGAATTAGTCAAAACACCCTGACCATCCCTTGTTTTGCTTCAGGGAAACAGCTGGGTTCATTCCCACAACCCTTGAAATTCCTTGCTGCGAGGCTTTTGCATGGTTGTTGTTGGGAAACATTTTACATTTTTGCTTATTGTGGTTTAGTGGGAAATCCCCACTTAACAGCTAAAAATAAATAAAATAGTGCTCCCCTTTCAACGTCAAGCAAGTTTGCGGGGAACGTTCTTTTTTGTTTGTTTTTCAAATGTGTGTCCAAGTTACTGGGATCCAGCTGAGGGAGATTGGAAACCAGCAGCCTGCTTGCCGTTTTCGTGGAGTCTTTGGGGAGTTTTTGAGAGATAGATAGACAGACACACAGAGAGGTAGATGAATAGCTACATGGCCATATGCCAATGGCCGTGTAGCTACGGCTTTCCAATGGGTTTGCAATGGCAGAAGGGAGATAATGTCGAATACCCCTCGCTAATCACATGGTTGTTGTTGGGAAAAGGCTTTTACATTTTTGCTTATTGTGGTTTAGTGGTTGAAATCCAACCACTTAACTGCTATTTGTTTTGATAATTTTTGCTCCCCTAACCCAACGTTAACCAAGATCAGGACTAGCATGTAGGCGTTCAGGCCCCAAACCGCGCGTGTTGGGCTTTGGGAAACCGCTGAGGATCTACCCAGAGGAGAGGCAGAAAGATGTGGAGAAGCTAAAAGCAGGCCTGCTCAGCCAGCGTGTCTCAGCTCACTTCCCAAGTTGGACTTGATACTTTTTTTCGGTAAGCCTCCATCATATCGTTACAGCGGATTAATCCGGACTAGCTGTTATAACTTTAGAATGCTATTATCTGTCTTTTCCCTTGGACATGTTCACGTCTTTTAGTGGGGTACCCTTTTTGGGCTGGTGTGAAAGGTCAACAATAAGAAATCGAACAGCACCGCATGTTCAGGGTACACTCCAAAACATGGAACCTCAAAGGCCAGAGGAAACTCCTGAACCCAAAACTCAGGTCGGCCTCCACCTGCAGGAGTGTGAACTAGTTTTGCAAATCCAGTTCACTCCTGGGTCCCCCAGTAGTGCCCTTTCTCACCCTTTTTTGGGGAGGGTTCCCCTACTAAAAAAGACTACAGAAAAAGGGTACCCTTATTCTAACGTCTCTACTGGAGGACCTAGACTCAGGTAGTCAAACAGGGTTGACCCTTTGGCTTTGGAAAGATGAGGAAACATCGAGGACAGGGTAGAAGCTTGGTGAACAGCTTCCTTTGGTCAGAATTTCAGCAGAGTTCGTGGTTCTACCTTGCCAGGGATTTCGGAGCAACCGGCTGGGTGGTTTTGAGCTGGGATGCCATGGTTGGGGCTGTTTCAATCATGTTCCTTTTGGAACGGGACATGTTTTGAAGTCTGTGAGTCAGTGAGACTCCGCGTCATTCCCCCGGTGTCCTGCGGTATAATTCAACCACTCTTTTTCCTTGGCATGTATGAATCAGTATTTCCAGGGGTTGGTTCCCCATTCTTTTCAACCATCGTTCTTTTCCAAAACCAGGCCTTTTCCCTGGGTTTCTGGAGGTCTTCTAGAAAGAAAATGAACCCCCTAGAGTATCGGCGCCTTTGCGTCTGTGCCTTGAGCTTGTTGGGTTCTGTTCATCTTTTTGTCGCCCGCAAAAGGACAAAAGGATGTATGCCTTTTTGCATTCATGCATTTCTGGAGGAGGAAGTTATGGGATGCTTGAGAGTGCGTCCTTTGCTAAGTGGTCAAACAATCGCGGTCCTTGGCGTTCAACAACGGGGGCAAAGAGGGATCCCGCCCTTGTTTGTCCTTTCAAACCACTGGAAAAAAGGGGACCCTCAAGAAGAATGACTTGACCACCCCAGTTGGCCAACACTTACCCATTCGGACCACCGTCCTTAATCCTTCGGCGGGACCGAACTTTGTCTGCAATTGAATTGCACAGAGACCACAGATCGACTTCAGTACGGTGTTTGTACCGATCCCCGAGCGAATCTAGAGAATAGATGAACCCAGTATGTTGATGGCGGAGTAATCCCTGGAATTGATTCGGATGTGCTTTCCCCAACATCTGAAAGCTTTGGGGTCTCTACGGATGTAGCTGTGGGGTGCTTTGGAGCAGGTTTGAAGAGGGTTACGGAACCCTCCTTGAATGTTGGGATATCAACTGGCTTTCGAGGTCCGAAGTTAAACCATGCCATTTTGGGCGTACCCCTATGTATTTTGACATATTTGCTCAAAATTGGTTCCAGGTAAAGGCAAACAAACGCACACCAGTTGTTTTTGGCTGTAGCTTAGAGCAACCCTGCCGAACTGGTTGTTTGAACGGGACATAGTGGTTTCTTTGCCAAACAATGTGGGTATGAACATGAATACCCCACCTAACGCGGAATACAGTGTTTCTGTCCAACGGGGCATACAGTGAACATGAACTCGCCACCTAAATGCTGTCCCCGTTAACCCCTGTACGGCCTGAGGACAGCCAAAACCAGCCCTGTTGTCCGGGAAAACATCTACGACTCGCGATTTTTCCCAGTGAGTACCATACGAAAACGGGGGCCGAAGGCCCAATCTGCCCATGTGAAACATGGCCTCCTGACCAGGGAATCAGTTCTAACTGGTTTCCAGGTTGCCAAGCACCAGAAGCATCCTCAAACCCATTGGACACCGTCTACCATGTTTTTCCTCCAAGCCACAACACCAAAGTATCTGCCTATTTTGTTGCGAGCTCACCTGGGGGCATAAGGAGCTCAGCATGAAGGCCCCTTACTTGAAAATTGGATGTATATAGGTACTTTATTTAAAAAATTACACCAGCAGAGACCCCAAACAGTTGAGGACTGACGGATGTATATAGGTACTTTATTTAAAAAGCATATTTATCTGAGAGGCCTTTACTTCCCTTGCTGCAAAACGTTCAGAAAGTCTGGATCCAAGATTTCCGCAGGGGCCTTGGCTTCGCCGAGCCTGCGCCTGCGCTGCTCGGAGTCAATGGATTGCCTTAGGCACGTGGGTCCCAAAAGCGAGTTGGGGGGCCAGACGTGGGTGCCATGTTTTGGGGAGGACGCCATAGGCCGTGTCTTTCTGTGCAAGTGTGTTTTTTCAGTAATTAGTACGTGCCAAGAACAGAGAGAACAACCGAGGAATAGAACAAATTGAAACCAGGCCCCCCCGTAATGTCCGTCTCTGGATTTTTGAGGGTACCCTTTTGGTTGGTTGTGTTTTCTCAAGATCCGGGTGTCCCTTTTTAAGACCTATCCAAAAGGGGTCCACTTTTTGCGAATTTCTACCTCTTTTCAGGATACCCTTGTTTGGGTGTTTTGGAATAGCTTTTTTTCCTTTTTTGGGGGGCGGAGGGGTGCAAAGTGGACCATGCCTTGGCCAAATTGTGGTTGGACAATTCACTCACCTCCAGCACTTGGTTTTGGTATTCCAGAACCAGTTCCTTCGGCTTGGATGAGGTTCTCCTTGAAAGTCAAGTACCCCAAAAGCGTTGCTCAACACAATACGTATATATATATATATATTACATTTACACATACATATATCTGTGATTTCCCCTTGTTGGTCGGATTCTATCACTCCTGAACATATGCTCATGTTTGTTGAGGGGACTAAAGCAAGTGCAGCTTGCACGTACAAAAACACACAATTACACATGGTTCATGAGTCTGGCTTTTTTAGACGCTTGAGTCACCCGAAGTCCGAAGCCCGTCCACCCTTTCTGCGCCAACTCCAGACATTTTGAAGCACGCCCTATTTTTTTTACCCCGGATCAATCAAATACTTTGCTTGTAGGAATCCTTCATGAGCATTTGGGGTCAAGTTTGCACCCCACCTTCTCCCAGTTGCCCCAGCCTTTTTCCCCGTTTCTGGGAAGGCGTCCCCTTTACAACTGACCCAACCAAAAAAGGATGCCCGTTTTTCCTATGGAAATCCGCTGGGCATCGTTTGATTGGTGGTTTGGGGTTTGAACCCCTTTGGAGAGGCTGATGGGAAACCACGCCCGAGATTTTCCCCAGTCCAAAGCAGCAAGGAGGTGCCAGGGTTAGTTTCATCCACCTCACCTTCGCCCCACCCAAACTCGTTGGCCCCACTTCTCCCCCCTTTTCCCCCCGCCCCCTCTTCCCCCCTTCACCACGTCACCCTCACCACCTCACCCTCACCCTCCCCCCACCCAAACCCCCCCTTCCCGCTGAGGCGACGCCAATGAGGTGCTGCCCCTCGCGGCGGCGCAGCGCTTCTTCTTCCGAGGAGAGTTTTCGTCGCAGGGGGCGGAGGATGTTTTGGAGGGTACCCCCCGCCCCGTTTTTGAGGTTTGGAGTGGAAGGAGAAATCAATTTTTGGTTTGGGGTGGAAAGACCGTTTTAAGGTTTGGGGCGGGGGACACGGCCTGGACCCTGTCGCCGGTACGACCTGCGGTCTTTGGCACTCCCAGGGCCTGGCCTTCATTCGGGTTCTGGCCGAATGGGTGTCCTTTTTAGTGATTTTGGTAACGAAAAATCGATGCGATGCCTGGTTTACCTGGTGTTTTTTTTCTCATCTACCAGGGCCATCTGTGGGTGGACGAAGTCCATTTCGCACCAAATTGAAACCATGGGACACCATTAATTGTTTGTTGGTATTTACAAGGGAACCATCATTCCAGGGTTTCTTAGGTGGTGCGAAATGGATTTCGTCCATCCGCTTGCCTCGCCGCGCCAGGCGACGCAGCGGGCCGGTGGCAAGGTTGGGCTCCCTTCAGTGCCCCTTTGCATCGAGTGTGTCGAGGGAAGTGGAGGGGTGCTGCTTTTGGCTTGGGGCCGTTCCTGAAAGATGTGGTTTCCATTGCGTTTGTGTTCTGTTTTGTTAAAGATGCTATATGTCTGTTGTGTGTTTTGTTAAAACAAAAAGCAACAGCGGTAGAAAGTCGGTTTGGTTCGCCTCTAGCATTTGAGCTGGCAAAATGATTGACGGCCTAGTGTCGGCTTGGAGGACTATGGGGGACAACCCCGAATTTCCCACAAAGGTCAGGGGGACCCAATTGTCCTATGTCCTCGTGGGGAAAAGCACATTTTGAAGTCTGAAACAACCATCTACATTTGGTGGGATACCTGAGGCAACGCGATTTCCCATTGAAGAGGCCGCGGTGCAAGATGGCTGGTTGGGGAACACCCGTTTGTAGACATGGTCTTTGGTGTGGCCCCGAACACCCCAAAAGCGCCCTTTGGAAACCAATGGATTTTCCGCACCTTTCGGTCGGTCATGTTGTTTTTTCTTTTTCGGAGCTTTGGTGTGGTCCGGTGTACAATTGGATTTATGCCCCCTCTTCTGATCTAAGATGGCCTTTCCACCGGTACTACTCCAAAACCCCGGGCAAAATGGGTACTTTCGAATTGGTTAGGACTATTTTTTTTAATTTCCCCCTGTTGGCTTTACACGGAATCTATCACTACTGGACATGTTTTCTCATTTTTTCCCGGGGACTTCAGCAAAATGGGCTTACGGGCTGCACGTGGTGGCTGTATCCGTGGTCCCCTCCTTCCTCAAGTCCTGGGAGTCCACATTTTTGAAGCCGAGAGGAAGCGGTGCACCGCTTTTGGTTCCACGGGGGCCAAAATGGAAGCTACCAAGTCAGGGCTCCTTAAAAGAAATTCATGTTGCAACCCTTTGAACCATGGCATGTTCCACCAAAATAAAGGGAAACCACCATTTACAAGTTGCAATGTTCAGGTGTATAGTCCAAGGATCCCTGTTGGGTTTTCCGAATTAAGCCACTAAAAGTTATTCACTTTGGCAGGGGAGCAGAAAGCAACCGAAAGGATCCCTGCAAGTGTGTTTCGGTTTTTAAAGGATCCGCAAGGGTATCCTAAAAGGAGACCCCGCAGAGATCTTGAGATGCAAAGATCCTCCACAGAAAAAAAAAGAAACACGTAAAAGGAGCACAAAAGGAAGCCATCAAGTCTGTGGACACGTTCCTGTCTCATTTTTTTGGCCTTGGGGTCACTGGCGAAAAGGAAGCCACCACGTCTGTGGCTTGCGGAAGAGGAGGTTTTGCTCGCATCTCCTGTGACCGAGGACTGGTTCCGCTTTGAGGTGCTGTCGCGCTTTGGGGGTTGGTGGGTCGACGCAGACTCCGTGAGTTTGCGGAGCCTCCGCGGCCTGCAGGCCCCGTTCTCGGCGCTCGTTCGGCGCGTTAAGCGGCGGCCAAGCCGGTTGGAAGGGAGCCGTTGCGGAGCTACTGTGGATGGACGAAATCCTGCACCACTTTGAAGCTATGGGAAACCATTGTTCGTTGGTATTTGCAGGGGAATCATCATTCCAGGGTTTCTTAGGTGGTGCAGCATTTGGTCCATCCACGGTAGGGGTAGCCAAATTTGCCTTTAAAGACGAAGGAGCTACCAGGAGTTCCGTAAGGGCATGGTAGCGCTGTAGAGTGGGGTGTTTTCCACTCGCTGCTTTTGGTTGTTTTGAGGCACCCCCAATCTAAACAACAAAAACACCGGGGAAGCTGGTGACCAGTGAGGATAGACCAGCGGTGTTGCTTGTAAAGGACCACCTCCACGGTCTCTGGAAATCCAGGGAATATGTTTTGAGGCGACTCGGATCGCCTTGCAGGAGCCCGAAATGGGTTGTGTTGGTTGGCCGGTCCGAAGAGACAGGTCCCTCAGACGTTCCGGATGGAAAACTTTGGGAGACAAACACCTGCAGAAAAAAAGAAAGAAAACAAAAACATCCGCCGCTGGCCACCTGGTCGTGGAACTTAGTAACTTGAAGACCAGGCAACAAAAAGCTTCCAGGACGGATGGAGGAGGACCCTTGTTGTGAGTGTGTGTGTGTGCCTGCGCCTTTTTTCTCCTGGATGTTGGGGTGATGTTCATGCCCTGAACATGCCCAATGCGGTTTCCTTTTGGGTATTCCTTTAAACACCAACTAAAAGGTTGTTTCACCATTTATTCAAGCAATCCTCTTTTTGTTGACCCAACTTTGGCTTCAGGTGGTGTAACAATCTGCGTCGCACAAAAAAGACAAGAGAAGCATCCACGTGGGTGGCTCGTCTTGGCAGGGACACCAACTCCAAAAATCAGTCAGAAAGTTGACAGAAATTTAAGCCAGCATGGCCTTCGGTTTTGCTATTGGTGTCCACTGAAAACCACCCAAAAAGGGGTACCAACTCCACAAATTCTCCAACTCCCAACACGGCATTGTTTATCGTAATCCTGAATTTGTTATACCGAAAAGCCACCAACATTCGTTTTCAATTTGTCTCTGCCGCATTTCGGGTGTGCACGCACAGCTGTCGCTGTGCTCGCAGAGTTCGTCGATTCAGACCGACGCTTTCGCGGGCAACTCATGGTTGTTGTTGGGACACATCTTACATGTTTTTGCTTATTGTGGTTTAGTGGTTGAAATCCAACACCACTTAACTGCTAGAAGATCATGCTGAAATCCAACACCACTTAACTGCTAGAAGATAGTTTTAGCGGTTGAAGTCCAAAGCCACTTAACAGCTAGAAGATAATTTTAGTGGTTGAAATCCAACACCAACTAACTGCTAAAACATAGTTTTAGTGGTTGAAATCCAACACCACTCAACTGCTAGATAATAGTTTTAGTGGTTGAAGTCCAACACCACTTAACTGCTAAACTGCTAAAGATAGTTTTAGTGGTTGAAACCCAACACCACTTAACTGCTAGAAAATAGTTTTAGTGGTTGAAATCCAAAACCACTGAACTGCTAAAGTTTGAAAATTGTGGCTCATGGAATTGGCGGGAAGGGGTGACCCCTGGAATTCCATTTATAGTTCCATTTCCTTTGTAAGGGGAAGACTAGATCCCCACCCCTCTTCTTCTTATGGTACTGTGCCTACTGTGTTCTTGGTTTCCCTCTAACTGCTGGTTTGGATTGGTGGTTAGGGGGGGAGCACTGGCTCATAGAGTCTGGCTGTGGATGGTTGCGACATCCAGAAATTGCGCCGTTCTGAAACCCTGGTTTCTGATTCGATTCCCTAGCGTAAATACCAACAAACGATAGTTTCCCACGGTTTCAAAATGGTGCAGGATTTCGTCCATCCACAGTACCATAAGAAGAAGGGGGTGGGGGGTCCACAATTCCGGTTGGTCCACAATTCCGGTTGTCTAGTCTTCCCCTTACAAAGGAAATGGAACTACAAGTAGGAGGATAACGTCAAGAACTGCCAGGGCGACGCACTGCTCTGCGCCACGGAGCGGCACCGCCGGGACCGGCGCACCCTGGGTGCCGCGAAGCTGCAGGCGCCCACCTTTCGTCTGGCCGCGTGGGCGCTGGGCGCTGGGGGGCCCTTTGTAAGGCGTGGTTTGTCTCGCCTTCAGGGAAACCCAAGGGAGAACCAACACCTAAGTTAGCTTTCATCTTCTGTTTCCTTATTTTGACACATTTTTGTTTATGTTCCCTCCCCCTTTTTGGCACTTGATGCTTCCCTGACTTTTCGAAGGCGCAGAGGGTCGCTATTTCGCGATATCTATCCCCCGCCACACACCCGCGCGAGTTTTCTGTTCATTCTTTCTTGATCTTATCTGTGTGCAGAACTACCTTGAGTAACGTCTGTGACAAGGAAGTTCCTACTTCCTTTGACAAATTACAGATAGTTCAGGGGTCCTTAGATATTTCCCCTTCCGTGGTTTGATCTTTGCAAATCTGGTGGCTTGGAACTGGCACTATATATGTGGAAATCCATGAACAAGGCAACTGGGTGTTTGAGAGTGTCCATCTATTTTCAACCAAACTAAAATCAGGGAGTCACCACCACCGCCACCACCACCACCACCGCCGCCACCACCACCACCCCCGCCACCACCACCACCACCGCCGCCACCACCACCACCACCACCAGCACCAGAACCAGAACCAGAACCACCAGCACCAGCACCAGCACCATACCACCACCATACCAGCACCACCACTACCACCAGGTTTCTAGGGAGGCTTTCTAGGGAGGCCCTTTTTGATTCACATCGTGTTTGGTTCCGATCAGCGTTCCATGTTTTGTGCGGTAGACTTAAAAGGTTGGTTGAATTCCGACAAAAGGGAAACGCCTGGGTTTCAGTCTATTTGTTTTGTGGTCAAACATGGAAGCATGTTTGAGCATGTCTCAATACTAGGGGACCCCTTTTTGGATGATCTTTAAAGGCAAACCAAAAGGAAACCACCCCTCTCCTGAGGGCCCCCCCTTTTGGAGACAAACCCGTTTCTGGTTGTGACTCTCTCGTGCTCTCGTGCTCCGCGTTTTTGGTTTCGCGTTGCGCGGATCCAGGGCCGGACGTGGCAAATGGCCCCCGTACGCCTCAAAGACTTCCACCGCTGGGTGGAGGAGTCGTTTCGTCGTTTCGCCTCGGGGTTTCAGCGAAAAACTGACAGAGTCCCGATATGGCGTGTCTTTTTTTTGGAGGATACCAGGATACCCCCTGTCTAGGTTGGTTTAAAAGGGACACCAACAGAAAAGCCACCAAGCTTCCTTTTCTGAGCCCAACCCGGCATTCTGCTTCCGACTGGCCTCCTTCATGTGGTTTGGATTTTTGAATCTGAGCTTGTCCAGACCGTGGGAAGGCAGCCAGGAGGGCAGCACCCGAGTCATTTCTATCCAAATCTTGGTGCTCATGCCAGATGGATAGCGTGATGTTCCTTGCTGTCACCGCGGATTGCGGATTTGGAAGATCCGGATTTACTCTGCTCCATTTGGAGCAAACCATGTTTTGTTTGGACCTAAAAAAAGGCAGGGAGTCGCACTAGCACGACTATTTCTCTTGCTGAACCAAGCAGAGGACGAGAATGCGAGGCACTTTGCCCTGCGAGTTGGTCAATTTCGCCCCTTTGTGGCATACCGTATTTTCCTGGGTGCATTTTGCCAAGGGATGTTAGGACTGAACAACTTTTTGCCAACGAATGGGTTTTCCGTATTAAACCACTAAACGTGATTCACTTTTAGCAGGGCAGAACCCATCACCCACGTTTTCCGGGTTTTCCGCCGGGCGTCTGGTTCCGACAAAATCAAAAAGAAGCCCGAGGAGGCACAGGGGGAGCTGTGCCTCGTGACCAACAACGTGCTCTTCGTGCCTCAAGTGGCGCGGCCCACGATGCGAGAAATGGCCCAGGAGATGAGGGAGGCACTGGAAGGCCCCGCGAAAAGCACTCGGCTGAGCCGAGAGTGGAGTGGGCTGCCGCAAAAAGAAACACGGGGAAATTTGGGTGTGTCTTTTTTGGGGACCCACACACATTTTGTAGCTTTCATGTTGAGGTCCTTAAAGACCAGCAAGCAGGGGGACCCTCAAAAAAAAGACAGCCCCGTATCAGGGTTGAGGATCTCGCTTGCTCTTTGGTGCGACCGAAACAGCCGTTTTCTTTGGTTCGAACCTTTGAATGAATTTATATTTATCTAGCCACACAGCCAGCCAGGCCAGGCCAGCAGGCCAGGCCAGGCCAGCCAGCCAGCCAGCTTCAGTACTCCCAGATTAACATGCAACCCAAAAAATCTCGAATGGACGTTTTTTTCCTGCGCGGAAACCTTCTGATCAAGGGCGTGCCTGATGTTGCCAAAGAGAGAAAGAGAGAGGGAGAGAGAGAGAGAGTCAAACCCTGACCTTAGATCAGTTTGTCTCAAACGGTGGTGCCCCCTTTCCTTGGCCACTGGTCCAGGGTCTCCTCCAAGAATATTCGATACTTTAGGTAGACAAGTCTTAGTTTCCAGTTACTAAGGTGTCATTTTGGGTACCAACTTTTGTGCCGCAGCCATATGGGTTTGTCTTATGTTTTTGAGGGGGAACCCTCTTTTCCTTGGTGTTTAAAGGACACCACCACCGAAATATAGAAGGAACATTGTCAGAGCGATTCGCAAAGAGCTAGCTACGGCTGGGCGAAACGCCTGCGGCGGACACGACGCGCCACGCTCAACAACATCCATCGTAGACAAACGCTTCTCAATTCTTGTTTCACCTCGGCTCGCAGAAAGGTTTCCCCCTGCCCTTTGTCAACAACGAAAAGAACATGTTATTTTCTGTGTAGCCCTGATGTGAGCCAAGTGGTCTTGGTCTGTGACTGGGAAATTATAACATGGGTTCTGTCTCCAAAGCGGCGCTTTTGTCCCCCCAGACGCCGGTTTCAAACACAGCACTATCTTGCATATGTTGTTTCGGCTGGCAATCATCACCTCTCAACCAGCAACAACTTGCCGCATCGGATCTACTTTGGCCAGATCAAGGAACTTTGGCTCCGGCCGGAGGAATCCCCGGGGGCTGGGAATACCAGTTTTTTTGTCTTTGGGTATGTCAACCCAAAGAAGCCGCGGGGTCTTTACCCGGAACAGCCGGTCTTTCCAAAATATGTGTTTTTGTTGGGGTGCGCTTTTCAGGTTGGTCTGATCAGGGACAAATTGTCAAGTGCACCAATCCCGCCATGTTGCAGGATTAGAAACCATTTGGCAGTTCCTCCCACATCATCTAAATAGGGTACCCTTTTCAGATTGGTTTAAAGGGAAATCAACAAGAGAGCTGTCGCGCAGTTTGGGAGTCCCCTTTTATACCTGGACCCTCAAAAACCCCCTCAAAACATCTGTGATTGCCCCAAAATGATGGGGCGAACTCCCATTTGTTTTTGGTACTTTGGCCCTACCCTGAACACAAGGTAACCTATGTTGAGTCACATATATCCATAGCCTTAACCCCAGGTACGCTGCTGGTCTCTGGGTCCTCGTCACAAAAGCACAGCCTTTGGCCCCAGGCTACGCCGCGCAGCGCGGCAGGCGGCTCTCGGGGCTGGAGGGCATGCGGGTGCTGCAGCGCCAGGTGCGGCGGCTCAAAGCGAGCGCGGAGTCCAAAGGCGGAGCTGCGGTGGAGCTGCTGCACTGGAGCCTCTTCAACCCGGTGGAGGCGAAAAAAAAACAGAGAGGGCTGAAGTGGTGGCTCCCCCTGCCGTGTTTGTGTTCATTTATGTATTACTTTTTTTTTTTTTTGGGGGGGGTATTTTTGTTTGGGGGGGAGTTACCATCCTGAAAACTTGAGAATATGTTCAGCGACTGGTTTTCGGCTGTAGTGGCGAAGTGCTCAGAGAGGAGAGGACCCCCCCGCACCGTTGCAACCCTCAGGTGTGCTTTTTGTTTGAAGGGGTGTTTTTTGGCGTATCTCCGAAAGGACACAAGATGTGGTTTAGGTTTCACTTTTGCGCAATTCGCGGGTGGTGGATGTGTGTTTCGAGGATAGTTTTTTTTGGGTTGAAGCCAAGTTCACCTTAAAGATTACTGGTCTAAGGTGCGACCCCGAATCGCTCCTTAGAGCTTTTGTGTTTACATAGCTTTGCAAGCTTAAACCTAAGGTCTAGCGACCTTGTGCCCGTTCGGGGGCTCGGAGCACCCAAAAAAGAAGTCCCAATGCATTCCTTGTTCAAGCCTATGGTGTGATCCTGTCTATTTTGAAGGGAACCCCCCCACCCCAGTCTCAACAGAATTTCTTTTCCGAGCCCAACCTGATTGTAAAAAGACATGCACGTCCTTGGAAAAGAAACAAAGCTGTTCCAAGAAAAGGGGGACCAGGGGTCGAGCCACTGGTTTTGCTTTTGCTTTTTGGGAAAGATCATGTTGACAATGACAACAACTACAAAACAAGTCTGGAAACTTCCTGACCAATCCACAGGATCGGCAACTCCTTGGCGGTTTGGTTTGGCGGTTTGGGGATTTACACCCTCACCTTCCCGACTGGAGGGGGAAGGGGAAAGGGAGGAGGGGGAGGTAGAGGGGAAAGATAAGCACGAAAACGGAAAACTCACTTCCTGAGTTTATGGACTTTAACTTTTTGGGAGAGACCATGTTAGCGCCGGCAAGGCAAGCAAAAGTTCGGGCTTTTTTCGGCCCATCAACTCGGGAAGTGACGTAAAGGGGAAACATGTAACAACAAACGGGGGAGGCGAAAGGGGAGGAGAAACCCAGCGGAACACCTCCAAACCACCAAGACTTTGCTGACCGCCCAACGCTTTTTGCCATTTGGGGGTTGCTTTGTCAGAACTTCCATCTGCGAAACTGCGTGTTTTTAGGTGGCCCAAAGAAAACCCAGCGCAAAGAAGACCAGGCGCAAGAACCCACCATTTTGGGGAAACATCCCTATGCCGCGTGGGAAGCTGACTTGGATCCAACTTAGTAGGCTGTGACTTTATGGTTGTTGGGGTAACTGGGGTTGGTGCCTCCATTGGTTCCCTTGCTACAGGGTTTCCCCCATTTCCCTTTTCGAAACCCCTAAACGTGGCAATCGTTTCCGTGGAAGCCACCAATCTATTATCAACCTTTCTGGGGAAATGTCCAGTGACCCTAGCTGGAACACCCAAGTAGCGCCGAACCGCCCCTTGAAGGGACCCCCTACTGTGGATGGTTGTGAAATCTATTTCGCACCCAAGAAGCCCAACTGTATCCAACAAACGTTATGGTTTCAACCATGGCTTCCTTTATTCGATTCCCCTGTAAATAACCAACAGCCCAGATTCCCGGGTAAATCACCACTGGTTTTCGCCCATGGTTCGCTTTCGTGGTGCGCCATCGACCCCCCGCGACCTCCGCGCAGGCCACGGAGGCCCGGCGAATGTACCAGGTGCTGCAGGGCCAAGAACCTGTGGAGGCCTTCGCGGTGCATTTCTTCCGGAAGGCCCGGCTTGGGGCTCCGGGCTCCGGGCTCTCCGGGATCCGGGATCGGGTCGGGCTCGTCGATCCATCGATCCATGGATCGGAGGCGTCTGGAAGTATTGTTTGTCCTTTTTTTTCCCCCGGGGAGTTGGTCTGTAGTGGTTGAGGTGGATGTATTGATCAATGTGATGTTTGGTTTGGATTTTAGGGGTTTTACTGCTGGAGGATTGAAATTCCCGGATACAGGGATTCGGAGCACTTCTCCAATCCACAATGTTGATTCGTCCGTGGTGGACATTCTTAGTAGTTTTGCAGATGTTGCCCTGTTCTTGCGGCTTCGATCTCCTTTGTGTGCGCGTCCCACAACATGTCTAGCTTTATCAGCCCCATCCCCCCCCATCAACCCCCCCCCCCCCGCCCCCATGAAACCCCATCCCCCCCTATCAACCCCATCCCCCCCCATCAACCGCCCCCCCCCCCACCCCCCCCCGCCCCCATGAAACCCCATCCCCCCCTATCAGAGCTGCAGTCCCCGAGGACTCAAAATGCATTTGGGGATGACCCTTGCAAACGACAACTTCTTTGGCGGAACTGGGAACACAGGAAATGGGCCCACGCAAGTGGTTGGGTTTCCTTCAGAACCATTCGACGCCATGCCCGATGTGAATTGAGAATGGTTCAGAGCCGACTTTTCTGAGGCGAAGGATACTCCTTGCAATGTTGCCCAAGCTCTTCTCAAATCTCATCTCCCCCGACCTGCTCTTTGTAACCCCTGCCACAGAAGCCGGAGAAAGATGAGTTGCTTGGTTTGTTTGGTTGCTTGCTTACTGGGTTGCTTGCTTGGTTGCTTGCTTGGTGGGTTGGTTGCTTGCTTGGTGGGTTGGTTGCTTGCTTGGTGGGTTGGTTGCTTGGTGGGTTGGTTGCTTGGTTGCTTGGTTGCTTGGTTGCTTGGTTGGGGTTGGTTGGGGTTGGTTGGGGTTGGTTGGGGTTGGTTGGGGTTGGTTGGGTTTGGTTGCTTCCATTTGGTTAAGACTTGTTTTTTCCCCTGTTGGTTTTAAAGGGAATCTATCACCACTGGAAATATTTTCTCATTTTTTCTAGGGCTCTAAACGCAAATGGAGGGTTGGGTTTGGTTTGGTGCCCCCGATCTTTGGAGCATCTCTCTTGGGAATGCGCTTGTCCTCTCGGCTTAGGTGCGGGATGAATGGGAGAAGCTGGGCTGCTGGGCAAATGAAAAAGCTGAAATCTCTGGGAGAGATGGCTTCCCCATCTTCGCTGTTCTTGGCAACAAACTTGTGTCTTGTTTATTATTAGCAGTATTGTTATTATTGGTATGATTGTTATTGTTATTGTTATTGTTTGTTTGTTAGTTTGTTTGTTTTTTTTTTGGGGGGGGGGTCTGTTCAGTTGTAGAAAATGGGGGCTGCAAAACTCGGTCAGCTTTTTGCAACCATACCAAGGATTGACTCCATCGAAATGAGCTCATAGGAACCCCGCATTTTTCAAATCCCAGTTTTTTGGGATACGAGGGGTACACCCCCTGTTTAATAGGACGGGTTTATGAATAACGTGTCAACATTACAGAGGAGCATGCCTTTGTTTCACAAGGCCACTCATCCGGGATATCTTTAGAGAGTGGGCAAATACTGTTGATGGAAGAAATCTTGCATGAGTCTTGTAAGACTATACATGTTGACCACCCCGCGCACCGTACTTCACATTGAGCTGTGACGGGCAAAAGTGCTCATAGGTTGCCAATGACCTAAATCTTGCATGACCCAACCCAACTTGGCCAAGCTGAGCACCAAAGTTAATTAGGGGCGCGGGGCAAGTTGTAACAAGATGGAGTGGATCTGATTCAAAAGTCATGCAAGACTTCTTCCATCCACCGTACGTTCTGCCAAAACCTGCGCACTCGATCAAATAACGGGGTAAAATAAACCATCGCAGTTTGAAGGTGAGCGCATCTCTGGCTGAAAAGGAACTCAATGCGGAAAGCCCGTAAGACTTTTTGGTGAACACAAACAGATCACGCAGTTTCGAGCCACCCAGTTGTCCTTCTCGGCCTGCCAAAACAGTCAATGCGCCCGCAAGTGTAGGATTCTTCGAGGTATGGAAGGATTCGGAAAGACAACCTGCTGCGAAGCTTTCTCAGGGAATCGGATTCGTTTTGCAGAAGAGCAACGACGGAAGCAAATACGGGTGTGGCAGTTGAAATCTTGCGACCCGACTTTGACACAAGAGTGGTCAGGAGACACATTTCGGACCCGTAGGGTTGCCACTTTCTGTCAGCTCCGGCAGTTCCTTTCCCTAAGAGGGGATTCACTACCATATCACTACCGCGAGGGAAAAACAATGATATTTCCCCCCCCCCTCCCCCTCCCCCTTGTTGTTCCGTTGCTGGTGGGCTAGTGGAAACCATCTTGGATGTTCAGTGCAGCGATGATGGGAATCAACCAGCCCACGTCTTCACCCGAATTTCAAGGGCTCCTTCTGAACCCTTGGGTGGGTTCAACTCAGGAACCGATGACTGAGTTTCTCTTTCTCATGTTCTAATGGGTGGCATTTCCACTTTGCCGACTTTCTTGCGGAGTGGATCTCAACCTTTTCCCCGCGAACATGGGGTGCGGTTTTTTTTCCGAAACCAAACACAGTTTGCAGAGACCAGAGACCAGAGATCTAGTTCTTGCTGCTTTAGGCGGTCAGTGCCTATGTTAGCCTGCACCTTTGTTTGAGCCACGCAGTGCCAGAAATGCAAGGCATGCTTCGTCGTTGATCCATTCGGATGAGTATAAAGTGCAGTGCCCGTCAGATTCTGCAAGCTGACACGCATCCAGTTGCAAACAAACCCGTTTCTTGGACAAGACCTGACGCAACCAGAACCTAGCGCATTGAGGGGCATTCGGTGCCCACCCAGCAAAAAGAGTCTAAGACTCCTCTTCTGAGCCATGAGGGCGGAATGAGGACCTGAATGTTTCGGATGAGCCCTGGCCGTCAGAATCGTTTCTCTTAAAAGGGGCACCCGGCGCTGCCCCCTGGAGTACCTGGCTTGTTTGGGAAGACGAGCTTTTAAATGAGCAGGGCAGCAAGCGCTGCATGGCCAAAGAGTGGCTTTGCTTGCAGGGGTTACACCTATCTTACTATAAAGCCATGGATTGCAAACGAGCACACGGAAAGGAAAGCGCCCGGGACCTGTTCTACGGCTCCGGACATTTTCTCAAGCCTGAGGCTGGCCCATGCCAAAGATGACTCCCATTCTGAGAGGCCGAAATGGTCATCAAGGTGCGGCTCCTGGCGTCAGAGGGGCCCCCCGTCCCGAAGTCCAACCGAGACGTTTGTCGGCCAAAACCTCAATCAAGGCTTAACCCTCTTGGAGGTTTTGGGCAGGGACAAGCACCCAATGGATTTGATCCCAGGGTGTAACACAGAAACCCTTGGATATGAAACCCGAAGCGGAGTAATTATTAGTGTCCCTGAGATTGGTCATCAGTTTTCCTTTGCATAGTTTGCGGACAGCACTTGCTTGTCGAAAAACTAAGGCCCTGGGGGGTCTTCCGGTTGGGAAACGCCATGCAGTTCAGCATCCAGTCTCATCATGTCTTAAACAAAGCTCCCATCTGGGCAATACCCTTCCACCGCCTAACACGGGGACTCACACAGCCCCCTGTAAGACGACTCTCCTCCTGGAAGGGGTCTTTGCGCGCTTCCATGTTAGTTGGTGGGAGGTGTAGCCGTTTGGAACATAAGAATTTCACGCATGCTCCGAGTGGGATGGGGTTTCCTGAAGGGCCAAATTCGAAGCCTGGTGTCGAAAGGGAGCAACCTGAAGCGAACAAAAGCGTTCTTTCTCTTGTTGCGTTGCGTGATGAGGTAACCCTTCATTGGTGGTTTAGATCGGTGGTTTGGGACTTGAACCGATGGTTCTTGTGACTAAGAGACATCCCACTATATGGATGTTCAACTTACCTAGGGCATGAGCATGACTGGAGAAGCTGGAAATGGTGCCTGTATCAGGGTTCTGGCTATTGTCCATTGCGAGCCTACCGGGGGGTGCATAACGAGCTCACCACGAGAAAAAATCTTTACTTGGGGATGCCTGAAGTCAGCTTTTGGAGCTTTAGTAAAACGGAAATCGATAGGAATTGGGGCTAGTAATAAGTGGCGGGAAAATCTGGAGTAGAACTTGCAGAGCTGATGCCGAGCTGATGCCGATGCAGATGCAACAAATGCAAGTCTTGCCAACCGTCTTCTCGCGCCATGTTTTTGCGGCTGCTGGTTCTTGAGCCAACCGTTCTCGCAGATTGGTCGGGAGCGCCTGTGGCACCTGCTGCTGGGGATGCTATCCAATTTCTCCGGGCTCCGGCAAGCTTAGGCTCGTCTCTTTTTTGAGACAAACCAATATGAGGTTCCAGTACTTAAGTTTTGCAGTTTCATCACATATGGCTATTATTTGGATATTGATCATGTTTTTGTGGTTTTGCTTTCTTGGCCTTTTCAACCAACAGTTATATATATATATATAACTTGTTACAGGGGGTCCGAGTCTGGCCCAGAAACCTCCTGACTTTGTCATGTTCTACCTAACACCCAAGCGGCGAAGGCAGCACCATGCGTATCATCCCTTTCGATTCCGGAACTCTAAGGGTTTTTGTATTACACCCTGGGAATACACCCACTGGGTATTGACCCCATTCAGGCACATTTCCGGATAAACCGTGTTATTTTGAACCATTCTGGATCATTTCCCAAGCGTGTAATCCCAGGGTGTAATACAAACACCCTCAGGGGAACAGGAATCCCGCAACCAGTTGCTTCTTGTTGCCAGAAACGGTATACTGTCATTTACCCTTGGAAGGGATGACACGGTAAGTTACCAAGACATGGGCCTCACTCAGAAAAAAAAACACCGGTGGGTGTGGGCCAAAATAGAAAGACCAGGGACCGCAGGTTTTAGTCTTTGGCTCCATTTCCTGTACGCATTTTTGACCCACCGCCAGGTGACTCGGGGAGATCCGGCGGTTTCGATTCCTCGACGTCACTGGAAAACTTAGGTCCGAGTCCGAGCAGCGGCTCGAGGAAGCGGAGCTTCCTCGCGGCTGGGCTTCGCAGCGGTGGGGGGAGATTTTGTTGGCTCCCAACCGCGCCAGTTTGGGCCCCTTTGGCGTTTTTTTGAGTGGCTTCTAGGTGCTTTGGGTGGGTGGGTGTCGCGGTTTTTGTGGGTGGGTGTAGCGGCTTTTAGGTGCTTTGGGTGGGTGTCGTGGGCTTTTAGGTGCTTTAGTGGGTGGGTGTCGCGGGTTGTTAGGTGCTTTAGTGGGTGGGTGTCCGAATTTCACCGCGGAAAAAGTTAGAACACTTTACGCAGGGGATCCGAGGACAGCCCGGGTTTGTTCCCATGGAATCACACAAACCTCGCTGGGGGTTGCTCGTTGAGAGCCAATGCTACACAAGTGCAACAATCGGAGCGACGGGGTTTGGCCTCGCGCGAAGTGCTTGGGGCGAATCGCTGCCTCAGCTTGGTTCAGAGAGCCCAGAAAGGGGGACGCCGCAACGGGTTCAGATTTCAGGCAGCTTCAGGCAGACACAAGACAGCCCTCCAAAAAGACTCTGTTGCCCAAAGCCGACCTTTTGACCTTTTGGTTTCTCCTTTTTGGTCTAGTTTTAGTCATGGCCCGAAAAGGTTAACCCTTTATTTGTGGGTCCTTTGGGCAATTGAGAAGAACAACTGCCTGAAATTGCCTGGGAAACGCCCCCGTTTGCGCGATCCCCCGATAAAGGCCGCCAAGTTAGTGTCTGCCACCTTGCCCATGAGGGTTCGGATCCAAGAAAAAACGCGGCTGGTGCATATCATCAGAAAAGCCTTAATCGACCACCAGTTGGAATGGATCAAGCCCTGTAAACCACCTACCAGCGTGCTTTCGCAGGAGCCCAACGCTGCGTTACTTGTTTTCCTAAATCCTTGCGCAACGTTCTTGGTTCTGCGCAAAAAGAGCACTTGGCCCGGGTTCCTGCGCGATTTCCCAAACGGAACACCGCCATGTGTAGACCCGAGTTGGGTTTGTCTCAAAATCGGGGAAGCCTTCAAGGTCTAAAGTACCGAGATGGGGGTGCTTTGCTTTAGGGTACCCCCGCAAAATGGTGGGTTTCCTTTTGGCATCCCTTTTAAATTACACCAAAAGGCCTACCCTCAAAAAACGATTTATCCAAATGGCAAAGGTCACCCTTCCGAGAAAGCACTCTCACGTTCCAAGGAGATGCTTCGAGCCGCTCGAGAGGCCGGGAAAAAGCAAAGGAAGGGAGGTTTTGTCAAGTTTGTTTTTCCCCGGTAAGTTGCATTTGGGGGTTGTTTCCGTTTCAATCTCTAGGGTTTGCTTTTTATGCCTGTTTGGGGTTGGTTTAAAGGGAACCAGCAGAAATTAGGAGTCGCTAATTATTAGTTGATGTCACTGTGGACGTTCACGTCCTAAAATCTTCTGGGGTGGGGTTTTGAACCATGGCTAGGCTGACTCCGGGGTCAAGGACCTAAGACGGCAGTGAGAAGAAAACCCAAGCTCCAAACTCAAGGAGGGGATCGAGTTCAAGGCTGAGTTTTTCTGAGTTTGTTCTGAGCTTTCCCGAGTCTTCCCAGATTGGGAGTTTTCCCAGATTGGGAGTTTCCCAGATAGAGTTGTTCGGAATGATTTGTTTTTTTGCTTTTGTAAGTTCCTGGATTTGTGGCCTCGGGCGAGATCAGGCCATCCTGCTTGTGATTGACATGGAAATTGTCCGGGCCCATGGAACTCGGAGTTTGTGCGCTCATCACTATCATCACAAGCATCGCGATCCGTAGCATCACTACACCCAACCCAGGTTTTTCAGAATATATCCATGCCCTCAAAACGGTGGGTATTTGGGGCATTGTGTCAAAATAGAGTGACCCCAAAATGGGTGGAGACCACCTTTTGGTGTCCTTCTTAAGCCCGAACAGGGTGCCCTCCCAAAACCAGCAAACACACCATCCATTTGGATCGGGGCAGTGCCGTCAGGTTCACTTCTCGCAGGCCATGGGAGGGGGGACACGGGGTTTTACAGGCCGGCCGCGGCCCCTCTTGCTGGTGCGATAGGCATGACCCTTATAAACTTGTAAACCACCCATTGTGGTTTTTTTGAAGGGAGTCCCAAACGCTTCATTCCCACATTCCCTACACCAGCAAGTCGTGGAAGACAGAGTTTGCTTCTAGAGGGTCGACGGGTGGAATGGAGCATCTTGAAGGGAGGTATGTATGGTTCAGCCGTTGCAGGACTTCCAGTTGAGATGGCAGATGGAGAACTCAACCGACTTTTGGCCCAGAGAGGATCTGGAAACACATAAACTAGGTCCCCCAGTAGTGCATTTTTTTACCCCTTTTTGGGGGAGGGTTCCCCTAGTACAACGACTACAGAAAAAAGGGTACCCTTATTCTAACCTCTCTACTGGAGGACCCAGCAAAGCAACGTTTTCTACAGTATGTGTTTCAAAAAAGAGGCCCAACAGGCACCCCTGGTTCAGCTTCCACAAGCAAGACGTGGTAGACTGGCGTTTCCAAGCACAAAAGCCGACCTTTTCGTGGGAGCATCTGGTCAGAGGCTCGCCCCAATGGGTTGTACTCACCGTTTGGATTGTTTCTGTCGAGTTGTGTTTGGTGGTCGAGGCTTTTCAGGTTGAAAATAGGTGTGGGGATCCTCCCAGAATTGCGTTTGTTCGTTTTGGTTGCCCTGTAAAACCCGGTCCCAAAAAAACATACACACCCACATCGCTTGTACATGATTGCTCCGACGGTGATGGAGGCAAAGCAGGAAGCCCCTTTCGGCAGGGACCCTGCGGTTTACCCCGATTTTTGCCATCTCAAGGAGTTTGTTGATGGAGATGGTTTTGCAAAAGTTCCACCCTTCCAGTGATTCAAGTTGTTTGCAAACCTGAAGCTTCCTCCTTTCCAGGGGTTTGAAGAGGTTTCCCAAAAGCCTCCTCGGCATCGCCAAAGGGCCCTACGGCCGTGTGCGTACCTGCGCTTTTTCCCGGGTTTTTGTGCCCCAACACCCTGTAGTGCCGGGCACCCCAAAAATAGTTGAGCAGCCAAGCTCTTAATTGCGAAAGACTATTTTGTATTTTGCCCGCTTGGTTTTAAATGGAATCTATCACTACTGACTGGACTTTATTTTTCTTTTTTTCCAGGGACTCTATACGCAAGTGGAGGAAAACACCCTGTAGTGCCGGGCAACCCAAAAAAGGTATAGGGTATATCAGAAGATAGCTGAGCAGCCTTCAGAACACGCGAATTCAATTTTTGCCAAGCTTCTATTTGCTTAAGACTATTTTGTATTTTTCCCACTTGGTTTTAATGGGAATCTATCACTACTGGACTTTTTCTAAATATTTTTTTCCAGGGGGCTCTAAACGCAAATGGAGGAAAACATCGCCGACGAGCGTTTCTTGGCTCAGAGCTCAGCAAGGCCTTTCCCGCCCGGAGCTTTCGGAGCCATGAGGATCGCTTGGCTCGCGTTGGTGCTGTCGGCGACGGCGGAAACGGCAACGGAGGGACCAGCGTTGCTTGGCTGTTCCCATGCTAGGTCCCCTAGTAGTGCCCTTTTACCCTTTTTTTGGGGGAGGGTTCCCCTACCAAAATTGACTACAGAAAAAAGGTACTCTTATTCTAACCTCTCTACTGGAGGACCTAGCATGGCTCAGACATGAGACTTTGTCTTTGGTGTGACCCAATCGGCTCTCAGAGCTTTTGGAGACACATGTCTTTCCACTAAGCGCTCGAGCGTAGAGCAACCATGGATTCATGCCATTCCACTCAATGCTGAACTTCAAGCAAGACATCTCAGTTGTTCAAAGCCGACCTTTTGACCTTTTGGTTTTCCCATTTTGGTCCATATTTAGTCATGGCTCCAAAAGGTCCAGGTCCTTTGGGCAACTGAGACATCCGACTAAGGTTGGACAAAGTGCTGTCCATCAAGGGCGGTTCGGCCGGGGACTCAGTAGGTTTGGGATATGGTTTGAGGTAGGGGTTGGGTTTAGGCTTGCTTTGGGATAAGTTTGGGCTAGGTTTGTGTGCCTTTGTTTTGGCCGGGATGTAAGGTACGAACCCAGACTCCAAGCCAACCGCATCAGAAAGACCTTTCTCTCAAAGATGACCAAGCCCCGAGGGCCGAAAAATCGGCAGGCGCACCCCCAAGGGAAATGTGGGTACCTTGGATGTAGTGGCTGGAGAAGCATGGTTGCGCCAACATTTGGCTTTTTGGTTTTGGGCATCGCATTCCTTCATCCGCTTTCCGGCGGCCATGAGACACATATATTTTTGTGGTTTGGGATTTGAACCCCAGTGCCTTTTGAAAACAAAATGGGGAAGCTAGCCCCGAATTCGTCCAAATCACCGGGCTCCAAACCACCAATTCGGAAGCTGATCACACATCGACACTTTCTTTTTTTTCTTCTTCTGGTGTGTGGTGGGCATTTTCGTGAACAATCATGAATGGTGCTATTTTCCATAGCCAGCATGTCACACATCGGCTCACATCGACCCATGTTTTTCCAGTGTGTGGTGGCATCTTCGTGAACAGCACGACCCCGCAGTTCAGAGATTGAGGTGGAAAATCTTACCTCGCAGATCACCAAGCTCAGCAACCAGGCGCAAGGGGAGCGACGGCGATGTTGGTAGCCCAAAAGGAGCCAAATAGAAGTTGTGTTTCCCCATGAAAACTCACCAAAAGATGTTGCCCCCATACAAGCACACCCATGTGTGTGTGTGTGTGTGAGTTTTCATGGTGAAAGATCTGTTGGTTAGTTTTCATGGGGGAAGCTAACCCCATCATCTGGCTCTTCGGGCCGAACACATCAAAAAAAGTCTGGCTAGACTTGGTTCGGTAGGTCATGAAACCTTTCGTAGGATGTGTTTGTCAGAACCATTGCATGGATTCCTGGCACGTGATCCTCTTGACCATGATACGGATTGCGGGGCCCCCCAAATCCCGTAGAGGATCCGAAACTAAAACTGGCACCCTCTCTTTATTTGTTTTGCCGCATGGGTTGCAAGTGTGTCATTGTCCTTGTTTGAGTCATGTTTATGTGGTTCTGTTTTGTGAGGGTTCCTTTTCGGTTTGGTTCAAGGTCCCCTACTTCAACAAATCCCCAGTTGTGCTGTTGGGTGTGCGAAGGCCATGGGCCAAGCTTTCCCGGTTGCCTCGCTGTATAGTCATCACAAAAAAGCGTTCGCTATGCAAAGAAATATTGGAGCAGAGTTGCTCGCCTCTAAACGATAAGGATGGAGACTTGGTTTGGTTTGCCTTCCCCAAAAGCAAGGGCCAGTCCCATCTCTAGTTCCAGCTGTAGTCCCAACTCTTGACTGTGGCCCCAACCCACTTTTATGATAGGCAACATGTTATGAAAGTGGATTCCACTTCCAGCCTGAAGGGCACAATCAAAGCCCAAACTGACAAACAACGTAGTCTTTTTGGCGGGCCCTGAGACCCATCCTTGGTGTTTAACGTGTGACATGCAAGCCATGGGGTCTTAAACAAACTCTCTGTGACAAGGTGAGAGTTCCCTTTTGGATACCGGCCATAGATGTTGGGCCCTTCAGGGGTTGGTTCTCATCACTTTTGAAACCTTGAGGTGGCTCACAGGCTAAAGCATCTTTGTCTTCTTGGTGTGTATTGCTTTTAGCTTTTCGACGCTGTTGTTTTTTCAGTGTTGGGGTGGGGCTGCAAAAATCACTGTTTGCTACCATACCCAGGTTTGGGGAGAAAACGCGGACGTTGTTTGTGCGTTTTTCTCCGCAAGCGGCGGATTCCCTTATTGCAAGAGCGCCGCCAAACCGTTTCTCTTGTTCCCTCCAACATGTTTCGCTGTGATCCCATTCGGGCTGGGAAGACCCTGTTGATCAACCTTGGCGACTCGCAATAGTTGGAAGTCAAGCGCAGGAACCCTCCACTTTGGGCATTGCAGACTGGCATAAAATCTGGACAGGCTCCAAAACGTCATGGTCCGGTCCAGGTATGCAATCCCAGACGTGTCAACCCACAAATTGCCTCTTTCGCTTCCCTTTCTCCCCTGTTGCAACAGGTTTTTTTTTTTTTTTTAAATATATTCCCGGTCCACGAAACTTTGGTGCATTGTGCCAAGGGATGTTAGGACTGAACAACTTTTTGCCAACTAATTTAGGTTTTCCGTATTAAGCCACTAAAAGTTGTTCACTTTTAGCAGAGCAGATTTCGCCACCGAAAGGCGGCCCCTTTCTCCGCGTGACGGTGCCCCAAAGGGAGTCAGGGCCCCAAAACGAGTCAGGTGCTCAATGCCAACTCGAACTACATGCCGGGCCCTTGGCGCGTTTTGTGGGGTGATGACGGTCTCAGAACGGGGGGGGGGGAAAGAAACGCCGTCCCCTTCCTTTTTCTCTTGAAAGGTTGAACAGCTTTTTTGGGGTTTGACTCACCAAATTCGATTGGGTGAGCTGTTTTTCTCTTCCAATCCTCATGAAATTGAATAATTCGCTGTTTTTGGCCAATCCGATTGGGTTTGACTTTGCAAACCACACCAAACTCCTGGCTGCGGATTGGGTTGCTTGTTCTGCTCCGTTCCCTCGGTTCCGGTCTTTCGTGGATCGACGGTTTGAAACGCTGCGGGATTCCCTCAAGATCGAGTCGCTGTCGCATATATCATGAAAATATGTCAGAAGCACGGCTCAATTTTTTATACTCTTTGTCACAGATGTAGCTAGCTACAGAGATCCAGCTTTTTTTTGCTTTGATCATGGAGCTCAATAGTTCTTTTTTCAACAAGTGGTTGGCTTTCTTGTTTCTATATTTGCTTTGTTCAGCACTCTTCTATTTTAAGTTTCTATTGAGCGACACTCGGATGCTCGGAGCTCAGGATCCCTGGCACCCCGGAGGTGGAGAAGGTGGCCAAGAAGCTGGAGGCGGACGCGAATTCGAAGTCGCGAGTGGGAAGTCGTGGGTCTGGTTCCACTTTTTTGGAGGCGTCTCGAGGCGTAGTTCCCCAGGACTCCTTAAAATAAATTCATTTTGCAACCATTTGAAACATGTTGCTTTTTCAACACCAAGATAAAGGGAAACCACCATTTACAAGGCAATGCTCAGGTGTATAATGTAAGGATCTTCGTTCACAAAGTCAAGAACAGGAGAGCGGAAGATAACTTGAGAGGCGCCCCTGTGAGGTGTGTTTGGTTAGTTGGAATCCACCAGTTTGAGTCGGTTTTTATTTGCCGGTGGAATCTGTTGGTATTTTGAGCCAAAACAGACCCATGAGCCAAACTTGGCAAAGATTCCTTTGGTTAGAAGGAATCCACCCATGAATCTAGGGTTGATTCCCCATTCTTTTCAAGTATCGTTCTTTTCAATACCCAGCTGATTTCCGAGGGTTTTTGGTGGTTTTTTAGAAAGAAGTATGCCTGGAAGGAATGGGGAAGGTACCCCTAGAAGGGAACGAAAAGGAAACCCGCAAACCAAACTGAGTTGTTCTTCGAGGAAAGCCAGAAGGATTTCCACGAACCAAAGTGTGTCGTTTGCCTATCCTGATGGACAACACAATCCACGCCGATCGAGACCAGTTGGGATGGATGAAACCCGATTGCAACATTGGTGATCAGCCACCTGGCGACTTGTGCTGGAATCTGTCCATCCACAGCAAGACTTACTAATTCCCATGAGTGCTTCTGGATTTGTTGTCGGTTTACTTCTCCACATCCAAACTTCCAAACTTTTTTGGATTCGGCGTTGGGATCATTCCCCCAAATCCGACATTTCAAACGGTTGGGGGCTGGGAAGAACATGTCCAAGAGGGTCAACAAAACTTGCTGGTTCTCAGCAGGGAATGAGGAAATGACTCTATAAACCATCCCTGTGGTTTCTTTTAAGTAGGTTCATTCCCAAACACTAGGTCATTCCCTCCAGCAAGTCAAGGGGTCAACAACAACTAAGCTGGTATTTCATGGTTTCTTCCCGGCGCGACGCGGATCTGAAGCCCCGCAATGCGCTTTGTGTTGCCCGGAGGTCACAGTCGCATCGGCCGAAAAGGACAAGTCCTTTTTGCCCCAGCCAAGCAGAAAGTTCACTTCAGAGCCCAGGAATACCCAAGTAGAAATGTCCCAAAAGAACTGACCCTGGTGGCTACCTTGGAATTGGTTTCAAAGGGAAGCCAAAGAGAAGCCATTGATGTTGAGCGGTATCTGGACCTTTTTCGCCAAAACTTGGCTTCTCAGTTCAGAGCTGCGGCTTGGGTGGGTTCAACCACTGGAGATGATTCGGAAAAGTGGAGACTTGCAACCCATTTCAACAGAGAGGTGCAAAGTCCAACATTGGTGAAAGGTTTGTGAGTCGTGGGCAGACTACGTTTTAGGTGGTTTGAAACAGAAACATGGGAAACCCAAAAGGAGACTGCCCATTTTGGCCCTGAGCAAGCTACAGACCAAGAGGTGGAAGGGCCAAGTTTGAAGGGACACATGAGATGGAAGGCTCAAGCGGGGCAGTGCCATTTCAAGGGATCCAGCCAAATGGTGCAATCTTTGAGTACCTCTGGGGTGACCCATCAGCTTTAACCACCTGGCTCGAAAGCATAGCCCAAGAAATCCGCAAAAAGGAAGCCCGGAAGAGCGATCCGCTTTCGTCTGCGTCAGTTCCAGCGAGAGAATTTCCGTACCAAGGGCAGCATTGATTCGGGTTTCTGGGATCCAGGTGCCGAAAGTTTAAGGCTGAACTCGGGAAGGGCATGGAAAAAGGGTTTTCAAACGTCTGCCTGCTGTTTTCCTCGGCGGAAACGAGCATTTGAGCCAAACTTGGGGTAACTGAAGGGCAGTAAGGGACAATCCCAGCCAGAAGTAGGTGTGGATATCCGCCCTTGTATTTGTGTTGCCTGATCTTGAGCAAGCTATGTTAATACCAGGTGTTGATTATGACTCATTGCCCAATGTTTAGATTACCATTTCCCAACCCACCGAACAAGACGATCAAGTTGCAGATCAACCACTCACTTGTCTTTTAGGTGGGACTATTGGCCTCTCGTTGCCTCTCCGGGACTAGTTGAGCCCTGTCAAATTCATCGCCCGTTGTTTCACTTGCGGTATACACTGCCTTCCAAGCTTATGCTGTTGGTTTTCTAAACATCCATACCCTCCAAACAGATACCAGACTAGGTCCCCCAGTAGTGCCCTTCTCTCCCCTTTCTTGGTTGGGATGGTTCCCCTACTAAAATAGGCAAAGCTGAAAAAAGTTGGTACCAACTTTTCTAGCCTCTCTGCTGGAGGACCTAGCTGAGAATGCCCTTGGAACAAAACATGACACCAACTTGGAAGGCTCCAACTGCCCAATTGGACGGCCATTGCTCCAGGTGCTGGTCGGCCAGGCGGCCCAAAGCGGCAGCAAGCTGGCGGCGGACGTGCTCACTGACTCTACCAAGGCGAGACGGCCCGAAAGATCACTGGTGTGTTTTGCAACGAACCTAGGTGTCCTTTTTGGTTGTTTTGGTCGAAAAATAGAGGGCGATCCCTGGTTTTACCTGGTGGTTTTTTCTCATCTACCAGGGAAACACATCTATTTGCACTAATTAGGGACACCTAGTCATGGCCCCAAAAGGTGAACCCTTTTTGTTCCAGGTCCTTTGGGCAACTGAGAAGATCACTGCCGCGTGTTGCAACGAATGTGGGTATGGCTCAAAATTAACCAGGGGCAAACCGCAGGTTCTGGTCCATGTTTCCACTTACCAGGGCGTGCTTGCCATGTTGGACTTCCTTTTGTTTTTTGAGCCACGGCCATGTGAGCTTCCACCAGGCGGCGGGCGCCACAGCGGCCTACGAGATGGCGAAGCTGGCGAGCGCTGCCGCCTGCCAAGACACCACCGCCTGCTCCGCCGCGGCCCAGCAGGTGTCTTTGGGCTTTCCCGCTGTGAGTTTTTCCTGGGGTTGAGTACTGAGATCATTTTTTTGAGGAGTCTTTGGGGTTCATTTTGCCAAGGGATGTTAGGACTGAACAGCTTCTTGCGGACTATTTTTTGGGTTTTCCGTATTGAACCACTACAAGTTGTTCACTTTTAGCAGAGGAGAAAGCAACTCAGTGCTTTGTTTTTTGCCGGAGGGTTTGTCTAGGTCCCCCAGTCGTGCCCTTTCTCCCCCTTTTTTTGGTTGGAAGGGTTCCC